GGGATGGGCTGGGATGGGCAGGAATGGCCTAGGATGGGCAGGGATGGGCAGGAATGGCCTAGGATGGGCTGGAATGGGCAGGGATGGCCTAGGATGGGCTGGAATGGCCTAGGATGGGCTGGAATGGGCAGGGATGGGCTGGAATGGGCAGGGATGGGCTGTGATGGGTAGGAATGGGCTGGGATGGGCAGGAATTGGCTGGAATTGGCTAGGATGGGCAGAGATGGGCTAGAAGGGCGTGCGGATGGGCAGAAATGGGCAGGTATGGGCTTGGATGATGAAGTATGTGGTAAGATGAGATACCTAGAACCCTACACATTAGTAACTGTTTGGTATGTACATAGTTAATATATTTACAAGTGTCAGTGTGGTTATAGTCATTAGCATAGTGCTCATTAGCATATTTGTGACTCGCTACATGCCGCCTTTACCTCATCGACCTACAAGACAAAATGGCGTCGTCAGTGCTTTTTCCGGCGAGTGCGAGATTTCTCTCCGGTTTTCGCCACTTCAGCAGACTTTCCCGCGCCGCGCCGGCCTCCTTCACCTCGCTATGCCGTCCTCACAACCACAGCTTATCCACCACAGCCAGAAACTTCAGCCAGCCGACGCCACGGGCCGAGAAAGCCAAGTAGGTCAACGTTCAAGCGACCGGTATATAGTAGACTCGGTCACAGTCATGTAACGTTATGAAATTCCGCATCAAAAACTCTTTTTTTTTTTTTCATAGGTTAAGTCTGTTGTCTTGTGTCATGGTATGGGTTATATCCCTGATAAGTAAGTATGCACGTCATAGATTGTCTTCAACATGTAATTCTTAAATAACTGGTTATACGAGTTTTGTGTGTCATGTAAACTAGTGACTGTGTAAACTTTATCCTTAATCGGCCCCCAAAGGACTTTCCTTGCATTTATTTGTTCATGTAAATGTGCCAGGTTTGCCTCTGGTAGCCTGGCCCTGGATTCAGCGCCAGCCCCTCAATTTGACTTTCTAAGAGGGGTGTCAATCACTCAAATTGTAAAACTTTCCTCTGGGGGCATGTTGGCCCTGAATCAGAGGCCCTGGCAAAAGTCTGGCACCCAGGCTAGCCCCTGGAGGCTGCTATATGATACTAATACCCCCCTCCAGTCATGTTGTAGGTAGCAAAGAACCAGCCAGCAGGCTTCTACTTTGGAACCCTGATACGAAGAGAAGAGTTAGTTGTCCAAACATAACACTTAAAAAACTTATAGAAACTGAAACAGGCTTAGAGAGCCTAGAACTTATCTCTGCGATGAATGACAAACAGTTTTGGAGATCAAACTTTGTATGCTCCACCTCTTCGGAGGATGATAGATGATGATGATGATGATGATACCCCCCTCCCCACCTCTCCAGGGTAACAGTACACTACAGCATGGCAGACGGCAGTACTGTCACGGTCCAGTCTAAGGAAGGGGAGAACCTGCTGGACATCGCTATAGAGAACGACCTGGACATCGATGGTTTCGGTAAGACAGTCCGTAAATACATGTACATGGGAGAGAGTGTGTCAGTCTTCAGGTTATCAAAAATGTGTTTGTCTCACCTGCACAGGTGTGTGTGTGTGTGTGTATGTGTGTGTGTGTGATGGTGACAGGTGTGTTTTTACCTGCGCAGGTGTGTGTGTGTGTGTGTGATGGTGACAGGGGTGTTTTACCTGCGCAGGTGTGTGTGTGTGTGTGATGGTGACAGGTGTGTTTTACCTGCGCAGGTGTGTGTGTGTGTGTGTGATGGTGACAGGTGTGTTTTACCTGCGCAGGTGTGTGTGAGGGACGTGTGTGTGTGTGTGATGTGTGAGTGTGCATGTGTGTTACAGTATGTGAGGCTGACAGGTGTGTTTGTCTCACCATCCTGCCCAGGTGTGTGTGAGTCTTCATGTGTCTGTGATGGTCACAGGTGTGTTTTGTCTCACCTGTGATGTTATCCAGTGTCTACCTGCCTACAGGTGTGTGCATGTGTGTGTAATGACAGGTGTGTTTTACCTGCCCAGGTATGTGTGCATGTGTGTAATGACAGGTGTGTTTTACCTGCCCAGGTATGTGTGTGTGTGTGTGTAATGACTGGTGTGTTTTACCTGTCCAGGTGCGTGTGTGTTATGTGAGTCTAACAGGTGTTATCTCACCTGCCTTCAGGTGCATGTGAGGGTACGCTCGCCTGCTCCACCTGCCATCTCATCTTCCAGCAGCCGATTTACGACCAGCTGGAGGAACCGACGGACGAGGAACTGGACATGCTGGACCTGGCCTTCGGGCTCACTGACACGTAAGGGGTTCTTTAAAGATACGTTTCCTTTTGCAAAGAAAAGCCTGCTAAAAGATTTTACAGCCAGATGAAAAAAAACAACATGATTATAGCACATGCCAGATGAGGGCTGTCATGGTTATTGTGGCCATGTTTGCAAGCCTTGAAGATAGCCTTGAATGATCACCGTAAGGGTTCATCTTATCAGCACAGAGGACACAAAACATACTTGACAAGATAAGCCAGAGATACATATAACCTAATTAGGGTAGCATGTCGGCAGAATGTACTGCACCTGCGCAAATCTTGTGATGTATTGTGCATAACACTTTGGCAGAACTTCTCATATAAGGTTAAAATCCCGTCTGTAGTTTCCAAAAGTTATGTAGGAAAAGGTATCCTCTGCAACAGGCAAAATTCTGATGCAACGTTGACCAGACATCCATCGAAAACCGTGAAAAATCAGGGTTTTGCACAGGCGCAGTACATTCTGCCGACATGCTGGTCATGATAGGATACAAGGTTCTCACTGTCTGTGTACTTAGTCTAGTATATTTTGTAATCCTGTCTGTCTGTGCTGCAGTTCCAGGCTAGGCTGCCAGGTGTGCGTAACGAAGGCGTTGGACGGGCTGACGGTCAAGGTGCCGGAAGGAGTGGCGGACGCACGGGACGTCTGACGTCTTCAAGGAACTGGCCGGCCTTCTTAAAGGCTGCAACCCTGAAACTCAAGGAGTCTTCTCTTGTTATCACTTTCTTCTGTGAAACTCAAGGAGTCTTCTGTGTGATTATCACTTTCTGACCATGACTTTTCAGTGAACGCAGACTGTGTGACAGAATCTCATCTGTAGGTGATTTTAGCTTGAACAATGTCAGCATAGTTTTAAGTCCACTAATAAGGGGTCCTATTTTGTTATTGTCCATACAGTAGAACTGTGTAGTAGGGTGATGGTCTGTTTTGTAGACCGGTAGGTGTGAAAGGGGTGAGGAAACTCTTTTGTACACAGAACCGTGCCTATCTAGGTTAGGGTTAGGATCAGGCATGGTTCTGGATAGTTTCTGTATATCCAAGAATGTAGATTTTTCCAGACATCGTTCTGGATAAAGCACAGTTCTGGATACAACACTTCCTTTCTGAACTGGAAGCCTTTGTCCAAATTATGGTTTAGATGTGGATTTCTTTTACTTTTACTTTAGGTTATTTTGGAATGTACTAGTAGACAGTGTCTGGTTAGAAGTTATAGAAACTGCATTTTTTTGGTCAGTCCACTATCAGCATTTTACAAGATGTCTTGTGCATAAGAATTTTCTAAGAATTAATCACAAAAGTGTTTTTTTTTTTCAAAGATTGGTAACTGAGTTCTGAAGGATGAGATGCTACAGGACATTAACATTACAGACCAACTGTGAAACTTGCAGGTTTGAATACAGTCAAAATCAGGAAGAAAATGTTTGCTAGTCTGGGCACGAAATTCTATGTAACAAGTGTTAAAGTTGTCTAAAGCCAGTATGTGTAATATTTCAATTTCTGTAAAAGATGGCAGCAGACAATACATGTATGAGAAATAAAATCATGTACTTTACATTCAAAGAGCACAGAATACAGCATTTTCTACTGGAAAGACAATACTATTAAAGTATTTCCAACCATTTCTGTACCCAGTGCATTTCCAGCTGTTCTCTAATGTACCAGAATTATAAACTCAGATTTCTACTCATGCAGTCATGTCAGTTACAAATGTATGTGTCTGTGTGACATCAATAACACTGATTTGATTTGATTTATTGAGATGCCCTTTAGCCCCATGAGGGGCTAATCTTCCAGGGCTCATTAACAGTACAACACATGAAAACGGTTCCTGACAAAAATAGTCAAATGTCAAAGGTACCTTTTATATAATGAACAAAGACGTTTGGCCAACAATACACTTCTGATGATGGCATTCGACTATTTGTGGTATTTCAGTGTTATTGGTGTCATTATTGTCTTAATGACTTGTTTTGAATTCTATTGATACCACAGAATTAGTAAAACATATCATATTATCAATGACCAGCCAGTGTAGGCTACAGTGTTGTCTTAAACCCCACCATGCCTTTCCTAATGTGATCTCCATACAGCTTAAAGTTTATACAGTGGCAATGATCTTTGCTTCCTTTCTACTGTAGTTTAGGCTTTGAAGCAATAGAGGTATTTAGTAGTGAGTTTTTGGTTTTAAGAGTACATATAATAAAAAAAACAGAATTTTGATGTTGTAGGCAGGACTAATGTGTGTGAGGGGGTAAAGATTCCAATCTGCGATTTGGCTGGCAGAGATCCCGATTTGAGTATTAACATTTTCAGAACTTTTTGCCTTTAATTCATTATATTTTAATGAATGATTATTAAAGTCTTACCGATTAAGTCTGAAGTGGCTACCGATGAAACTTGATCGTGATCTCTACTAGTAAAAGTAAAATCACCAATTCTGCCAGACTGCAATCTCTACTCCGACATATATATGTATGATAATGGTATAATACTAGTATGGAGATACCTTCTACCCATGGATATACAGGTATATAGTAAATAATATACAAAGTATGGTATATTATATATATTTGACATGTTTAATGGACTAGAATTTGATTTTTCAGTAACTAGTGATGAAATAAAGTTCTCTTATATTTACATAATGAGAACGTGTTTCTTTCTGTAGATCTAAGTTTTAATAGTAATTCATGAAAGCAATTGCAAGAATGATACACAAACGTATATTTTTTTAAGTTCGTCAAGTTCGGACTAGCTGCTGCAGTACCGCACTAAATTGATGGAGGGCGCTGCCGAGCGGTGCAAAAACAATCATAACTTCATGACAAGTTTCGTACTATTAAACTTGGCATCGTCAACGGAAGTATATTGGACGGTTAAATAGATGTACACTAACGTTACATGTATAATCAACTTGAATCTAGGATTTCATCTATGATTTTATGATACTTATGCTTTATTCTGTTAGGCCACACCGCCTTAATTTTATGGATGATCACGTCTTCCGAGGCTCTGGCCTGGCTTTAGGCCTGGGTAGTCCATGGTGGTCAGCGACAATGAGGACCGAAGCTCCAAGACTCAAGAACACAGTACATACATACTGTGTCGATTCATAAATTCCGCAAAAATTCAGCATGTGCCGGCCTGTCGTATACGTCGCTATGTATAATGCGCCAAATTCACAATATACCGGCTTTGTATTCCTGTGGTTTAGTAACATTTTTATTTTTCTCTTTTTTTTCGCCCGCGCGCACTAGTTTGAGGGTCTTCAGAAGATGTCATCCATAAAATTAAGGCGGTGTGGCCCGGCCCGATAGCCCCGTCTGTTTACCCTGTATCATGTGTACGTCACATGACTGGTGGTGCCAGTGCGGAAGTCACAAGTAGCGTAGGTCAGAGCGGAACTGCGGCGGGACGCTACAAGTCAACACTCCAACACTCTGGTTCCGTGTTTTCAGTTCCTGTAGTCCTGTAGCTGTTTATAAGCCAGAGGAAGAGTTCTGGGTTCCAGTTTTTAACTCCCGCCCGCCGCAGTTCGATCGACATGTTTCTCTTCAAGACTGTTCTGCTGGTTGTTCTGGTGGTCTGGAGATGTTACGCAACTTTAGGTACGAGTTTAGACAAAATCTTCTCAGCTATTCTGTACTCTACTGTCTTTACCGTAGCCTTTAGCGCAGAAGGAACGATTTTATTTTACACCCTAGAGCTTGAAATGCAGAGTACACGTCTTAGTAAAGCCAGTAGGTAACGTAGAGACTGAAATATTATGCAACTTTAGGTACGACTTTAGGAAAACCTTTCAGCCAAAACTGTACTGGCTTGGTCTTTACCCTTGTCTTAAGTGTAGAACGAACGATTTGATTGTTCACCAAGGACTAAGAGCTTGAAATGCAGTCTCGGTGCATTGTCATTGCAAAATCAGTAGATATCGTACATGTAGAGAGCTGAAAGAAAAGCTGCACAATTTAGGTCCCTCCGAGCACCACTGGAACTAGGTCATGCTTCGCAGTCGGTTTTAGGCTCTTTGTTGTTGTTTTTTATTCCTTAGGGAATAGAGAGGGTGGTTTCGATCATGACAAGGAGGCTCTGCTTGATCCCAGCAACATTGTTTCTGCTTTTAGGACCTTTTAGAGTTATTTTTCCTGCCGTACGTTTCAGTCAGTCACCCTTAACGTACGTTGCCGCCTCGTGAGGCACAGTTTAGTGACACCTGCCTTTGACTACAGATAAGGTGTTCAAAGTACACAGTCCGGCATATTTACCTGCCCGACTACCTGGCTATGGCTGTGCCGCATCCACACAGTCAGCACAAACTCACAACTCAAATTTGAAGGTCTTCTGCACAGAGCTTGGCAGTATGTTTTTTTTTTTGCATGATTAATTTTTTCAGTGTGTCAATAATTTGTGCCAATAATTGTCTAGTTATTGATTTATTGACTGTTGATGTA